TTTTCCATGAGCATGTTCAAGTGTTCTGGGATTCCCATTCTTCTTAGAGTTAGCCACAGTTTGTTCTGATCCACACAGTCAAATGCCTTTGCATAATCAAAGAAACACAGATAGACATTCCTTTGGTACTCCCTGCTTTCAGCCAAGATCCATCTAACATTATCTACAATATCCCTAGTACCACAACCCCTTCTAAAGCCAGCATGCGCTTCTGGAAGTTGTCTGTTGATGTGCTGTTCCAGTTGTTTTTGGATAATCTTCAGCAGAATCTTGCTTACATGTGATATCAGTGATACTGTTCGATAATTTCCACACTCTGTTGGATCACCTTTCTTTGGAATGGGAACAAATACAGATCTCTTCCAGTCAGTTGGCCAAGTGGTTGTTCTCTAGATTTCTTGACAGAACTTGGTAAGTGCATCCAGGGCAGCATCTGTTAGTTGAAATATGGTGGTTCAAATCCTCCAGCTGCTCCTGAGGGAAAAGACAGACAAGCTCCCTCTGGGGATTTACAGCCTCTGAAAACCCAAAGAAGAGTCAGCTCTCAGTTGGTTCAGACTCCATCATGCACAACAACAACAAAGAGCTAGGAGTAATTGAATATAGTGATATGGAATGTTTGTGTTACCAGTATTTACAGTAAGGAAACTGGGAATGACTCACACTATTTTAATCCCCAGCTTAGGATGATGTAAACTGTGCAGGGGAAATGATGACTCAGTTTTAGAAATGCTAAGATTCTGTGATTTCATTTTCTCACCCCATACTCCAATTGCAATCATACACATTTGAATTTAAAACTTGAGGATTCAGTGAGAAAAATACAGTGATGAGTCAGAGTCTGTTTTGTTGGTGAGAATTGTACCTAAAATCAGCATGTGTTTTTCTGAAACCTGAGTGGTGACATCCAAATTTGGAATGTGGTCTCAAGATAGTGGTGGGGAAAAGCTTGGTTTAGTGTCAAAATGGAGTCACTTGTGCTAAGTTCTAACAGACTGAAACCTAAATTTCTCTTCTAAGTGTCTAACTTCATAAGGAGCCAAAATTAAAATTAATCATTTGGCTCTACTGGAAACAAAATCCTATGGATATGTCAGCTCTATTTGGCCTACTTCAAAATTTCCCTTTAACTCCAAATAACAAAGGAAAATGCCCACCAGTCAATCTGAAAACTGCCCATAATAGTTTTCTTGTTCAAATGTTTTACCTTCTGACAATGTTGCTTCTTTTTTATTTCTTTTTCACAATCATGGTTTATTAAAGAAATCACAAGGCCGGTGAGTCAGGATAATGCTGCTTTTTATATGCTCACTGAAAGGAAAATTTTTTAAACAATGTCCCCACACCCAAATATTGTAAGAACCTATACCTTTGATCTTGTGTAAACGTTTATGTTCCAGGAACTAGGTGACCACAAACTGAACAAGCAGTTACTGGACTGACCACAAGCTGAACAAGCAATTACTGGCAAAACCATATCTTAACTAGCATCAGCAGCAGGTGGCTGACCTAGAACTGAACTTCTGCTTTTCCGAAGAGCCAATAAGCAAACTCCACGCCAAAGAACCCCTAGACCCTCTATAAAAATCCCTTGCTTTTTCAGCTCGGGGTCGACTTCCTTGTCTCCTGCGAGAGATACAAGTTGTCCCAGAGCTCTGACAATAAAGCCTCGTGTGATTGCAGCGAGTGGTTCTGGTGTGAGTTGCTCAGGGTTGCGCCTGATCTGGGAAAAGCCCTAATTTGGGGTCTTTCATTTGGGGGCTCTCTCGTCCGGGATTGAGCGACCACCTGCAGCAACCCACCAGCCAGCCACTTGGAGGTAAGAGGATCCTCTCGATTTCCTTTGTCTGTGCGGCGCCGCCAAACCTGTGTGTTTGTAAGTCTGTTTTACTTTCAGTTTATGGCTGTCATGTGCACGTCAGGGCCTGACAACTGTGGTGGGAAGTGTGCCTGAGAACCACAAGTCACAGCCCTGGGGAGACGTCCCTTTGGGTGGAATACGGATCCAGAGGCTTTAATAGTCTCTGTTCTGTCTGAGGGACTTAGAGTGTCCCACCGGAGAGGAAGGGCCCAGAGGGCTCTCCTGTCTGAAGCAGCTTTCAACTGGTTGTCACGAAGAGAGCTTCTTGTGTGTCTTGTATTTCTTGTGAGTGTCTGCTGTGTTCCGTGGGCGACTAATATGGGACAGACAGTGACAACTCCTCTATCTTTGACTTTAGGACATTTTTCTGAAGTAAGAACCAGGGTTAATAATCTCTCTGTTAACGTTAGAAAAGGACCTTGGCAAACCTTCTGTTACTCTGAGTGGCCCACTTTGGGAGTCAGTTGTCCACCAGAGGGAGCATTTGACCTAACAATCATTTTGGCAGTTATAGATCTTGTTTTCCAGGAAGGACCAAACACGCATCCTGACCAACAGCCATACGTCATTGTGTGGCAAGATTTAGTGCAGAATCCACGGCCGTGGATAAAACTTTGAGTTTTGAAGAAACATACCACCCCTCTGCGCGCATTGGCCCTAAAACCCCGAACTTCTGAGTCCAGAGTTCCTCTGGCCCCAGAAGCTGCGCCATTGACACCACCCAAGAAGCGCCACAATCCTCCCCCATATCAGGGCCAAGCCTATCCCGTCCTCCCATCCCTGCAAGCGACCCCAAGGGACCAACACGAGGGACTCACAGTTGGAGGGGTCTAGAGAGCCCAGATTCCACTGTGGCTCTCCCCTTATGAGTGTATGGGGGGGGGGGGCCCAGAGCCAGGACAACTCCAACACCTCTAGTACTGGCCTTTTTCCTCTGCTGACCTCTATAATTGGAAGACTAACCATCCTTCCTTTTCAGATAACCTCACAGGGCTTATTGGACTAATTGAGTCCCTCATGTTCTCTCACCAACCTACCTGGGACGACTGCCAACAACTTCTCCAGGTCCTCTTCACTACTGAGGAGTGAGAGAGAATTCAGACAGAAGCCAGGAAAAAAGTCCAAGATGCTGCAGGACAACCAGTCCAGACTCCTGCGGCCATGGATGCGGGATTTCCTCTCATTCGCCCCAACTGGAATTATAACACTGCTGAAGGTAGGGAGCAGCTATCCGCCTATCGCTGGGCTCTTGTAGCGGGTCTCAGAGGGGCTGCACGATGCCCCACTAATTTGG